TTATGCTGTACTGTATGAACTAAAAAAGCGTCATGTCATTCTTTCTCTCAGAGGACCCTTTATTTATTTATATACCTCTCTTAGCACTAATCCAACAGTTAAAGACAATAACTTCACCCACATATCTGTATGATATTTAAATATACATATAATATAATTGTTCTTATAAGATAAGTAATGAACGATTAACGAATCAAATTAATCTATCCTTGAATCAGTCAGTAATAAATGAAAATGAGTTCTATTAAAATACCACAACCGTATTAATTATGAACGACTTTCTTGGTTGAAAAATAAAAACAGTAGGAGCTTGTTCTAGCAAAATACACATCTATTAAAATTAAAAAACATATTCAATAATATATTAGCATATGTTATTCTAACAGTGCATAATAGATGCAACGAATATCAACTATTTGCTCGTATCTCATCTTACCCACGCTTTAAATATATGAGTATAATATATGTAAAATAAAACTAACCACGATTTTCTAGTAGGTATACAATAATAGCTTGCATATTGCAGAGTTCCAACGAAGTGTAATTTTTATAAAAGAAAAAATTTTAAATGTACTCCAGTTCTTTCTCAGTAAATTCTTTACGATTCTTTTTAGGAGTTTACTCCTGAATTATATAGAATGGGGATTTGGATAATTGACAGATACATACGAGAGTTTTACATTTAAGTACATGCTATCACGTTTTGTTTTCCTAACATTTAATCTAATATCCGGTGTATTGTTTTAGCTTGTCACCGACAATCAAATTATTCTATTACCATGCCGTTTAAGTTTACATGAGTTAACATCTCTATACATCAATCACTTAAACAATATACGGACATAGAATACTCTCTATAAAACTACTGCTTTAATATATAAAATATTTTACAATTAACATTATTATTTTGAATATCATATCCATTAGAGCAATGGAAACGCTCTATATACGACTAACTTCGTTAAATTCTTTAGGTATTTAACATTCTAACATGATAACCTCTCACATACATTTTTTAACTGCTTTGTTTATAAGATTTTGGCATTAACCGGCAGTTATCATTTTTGGCAAAGGTTTTATCTATCTACTTATATTTCTGTCTTTCATTCTATTTTTAGGGATAAACAAAAACAATAATAATCATAATAATAATAATAATAATAATCATCCAAACAAAAGAAATGTCTAATCGTTCACAGTTGTTGTCACTAGAATATCATCGCTATAATCTTATTTAGATTTATTAAAACATTCTTTTTTTTCGTCGTTCGTTAAAAATTAACCAACATTTCTCTTCTCTCTCTAGGAAACAAGATGAAAAAACTCATACATAATAAGACGATAGATGAATAAGAAGACTACAGAGAACAAGCATAAATTGTCAGATATTAATGTCTCAGTTGGCTTAAGACTGGCATTGACTTTTTTTCTTTTTATACAGAGTTTGATAGGAAAATGTCAATCGAAGTATATCAACTCTTGCCATTACTATATAGAACTAACTAACTATACACGTGTTCCAAATCAATCGAGAAAAATCTTTTACCATCCTAATCTATCTTATTACGAGAAAAAATATGTGATGTATTAGTATTTATAAGACGCCGATAGATCTAGATAATTTATTATACGGTTAAATAGCAATAATATTCAATACTATCGATAAAATGCATTAAAAAAAACACATCATAGAGGAGGTCGCTATAATATTACCACGGTTACATTATCATTTTTTTTGCTATTTGAAAAACTTCTGATAGAACTTTATGATTTTTCTATTTCTTCGAATATTCTTTATTAAATCATATTTTTGTCTAATATATAAATATCTGATAGCGATTATGATTATTTTATCGATTTGCCACCAAATGATATGGTTTGAATTCAACCATGTAAAATATTTGGTGTTTGTATATGTTCTCTCTTTTTTCTCCTCAAATCTGTTGTTGTCTATTTTATTTTGCTTGATATACACATACCAAAAAAATAAATCACTCTATTTAATGATAAAAAGCGGTAAATTCTGTAAACGATCACATCCATCTCATGTTTTTTTTTTTTTATAGCACAGAAAACGAACAACAAAACTAAAGCTGTTTAATCATTAGTAATAATTTATTTATTTTAATAGCCTCTAGGAATGAATGGTAGATGAAAATCATCAAATAAAAATATGCATAAATACAATCATCTAAGATTATATTTGCAATCGGTCAATATAAGCTGAAATGGAATCGCTATCAATATCCGTATATAGAAGGCATTGGGATCATTTCATTTTAGCTTATCTTGATTATTTACAGTGAAATATATCCATTCTAGACAAAATCCTACGCACCTCCTGTCTATTTCCTACTAGGATCTTACAGGATCCTAGCAGTTAGGATTCACCGAATGACTTCCTAGTAGAATCCTACCAGGATTTTGCTTAAGTTTGTTTAGAATCCTAACAGAATCTTAGGAAATCCTATGACTTTCGGGTATACTTGATTTCATTAGGATTCTGTAGGATTTTGTTAGAATCCTAAGCAATTAAAGCGAAATTCTAGTAGGATATTGGAAGGATATGTCTCGGATCCTGTCAGAAAACTCATGAGAGATTTTACTAGAGCAAGGTAGTAGTGATCTTTTATCATTTCCATAAGAATATTGAAATCGATTTAAATTTTCCCAAATCAAGCATAACGGTATTTTACAGTTTTTCATCGAATCAGCCACTTTTTTGTTTTGCTGTGTTCATTAATAATTAATAGCTGAGATATTTTCAAAAAAAATTCCGAACGAGAAAATTTTTCTTGTTTCAAACATTCTGATGATAGACACTTGACGACAAAGAAGATAATCCAAGCGATGCAATTCGAGAGTCAGAAAAATATGTTCACCGCTTACACTTTTAGTTGACGATATGCAAAAATCGTTACTAATATTATACTGATAGTTAATCATATGGAATAAAATTTTGAAAAAATATATATTTAATTACAAAGCATATTTCAAGATTTGAAATAAATAATGTATCACTGTCCACCGACTATTACTAATTAAATATGTCTAAGAAGGTCTATGAAAAGTGTACAAGTGAATCAACTTACATATTCGAAGATGAGTTCATTGACTTCTTTAACGTTAACACAGACTATTTCAAATTAAAGTTAAATAAAATCATCTTTTAAGATTTCTTTTTGTCTAAGATACGATAATAGTACAAAAGATATTCAAGAATTTTATTTTTTTTGTTGTTATATTATGAATATCCTGTCTGATACTCATAGCAAAAACTTGACGTTACATTTAAAAAAAAGGAAAAAAATAAAAAACTTTTTCCTCTCTTCTTTGTTTCCTATTTCACTCTATTTTCGCTAATCTTTTTCTACTCTGCTATATTTTTCTTCCCTTTGTTTGTTATATCTATAGAGTCCTATTTGTTTGCTCTCTTCCCTATGCAACACATAATCATAGATCTCTTCATATTGAATGAATGAATGAATGAATGACTGAATGAACCATCATCAACCAACAAGCGAGAAAAAATGGATGATATATTAAAGATACATTAATAGCACAACAACGATGTTTTGTCGCACTTCTTCAATTATTATTTTTCCCATTTTTTTCTTCTTCTTTTCATCAAATATTAGACATTTCGTTTAAAATTTTTTGTTTCAACAACAGCAAATAATGGATTTTGACATCACTGTTATAGCTATCTAACATGAGATAAAAATAGAAAACACATTGAATAATTGTTCATCCAAATATTAACATTCATTATCATTTTTTCACTAATACATAGATTGACACAAAATATTAGTAAAAAGAAGAGAAGAGAAAGAGAAAGAGAAAGAGAAAGAGAGAAAGAGAGAGAAAGAGAGAGAGAGTAATCAAATCTCTGTCAAAGAAAAGCTATAAGCATAGTGACGACTATAACTCGTTATAAGAAATCAAGATTTTAATTTAGAGAAAAAAAGTCAGTCGAATAGCGCAAAATTTATAATCAGATTCAGACAAAAAGTTTTAATTATCTATCGTTTTTTATGACATTGACGATAATGTCTTTAGGTTATTACTCACGAATAGAAACATAGTACCATATAGTATAATCTGTAAAATCTTAACTGTCTAGTCTGATCTATCAATTTATTAATGTTAGATTCAGATTACATAAAACAAATCTTATTCGACACAAAATATTTTTTGTTGTTTTTTTCTATTTTGAATTGACCGAAAGACAATTTTCAATATAGAAATTATCATGAATAACTAATGAAAGAAATATTTCATAAAAGCTATATCAGATGGAACATTTATCTTCTAAAATTAGACTCATTGGTTGAAGATGAATAACGAAGTATATCATTATTGAGTAGCAAAATTTACTAAAATCATATCAATACAGTTAAAATAGTTTTTTAACGTTAAAAATGTCATCATGATTTTATCGTAATAATTTCATGTTACAATCTTCTTCAAATAAAAATACACTTCAATTTCTTGTGTTAATAAAGATTGATTGCATATAACAGATTTTTAAGAGGCAACACGATCGTTAATCAATCAGATTATTGTATGTATAAAAATATTTTCGCTACTAGAATCATTAATAGTATTTTTGACACTATCGAACTAATTTGTCTATTATATATACCTTTCAATAGTAGTTTTTATTTACACATTTTATTTCTACTTTTACTAAATATTCATTAAGTATTTTATTTTTTAATTTACAATGTGTTTTCTGTAACACTCATAGTCATATACTAGATTATGCAAAAATCTTGTTACACTCATAATTGAATTTAAACAGGTCGTTTGGTATCTAGATAATATTTGCTAAGAAATAAATGAGAGACTATTTTCATTCGTATAAAAATAAAATATTAGAAAATATTATTGATAAATGTAAATTTATTCTTTAATTATTTACTTTGAATTATATGATTTCACACATCAGTAATTGTGGATATTTTGTTAGAAATTACGTTTGTTTCCTATGTATTTTTATGCAAATTTCAAATGTATTATCGCGACATGCAAAAGGTATTATTGACACCGTTGAAGAGAATAATAATGTTGTTGATGAAAATGGTGTTGAACAAAGAACAAATTCGGATAATGAACCGCAAAATTTAAAAGTAGATAATAACATAAAATTTCAACAATCACTACAATCAGGTGTGTTTGCACACATTGTTTAACTCTTGAATGAACTCTTTATCTTCACTTTTTATATTAGATCATACGGCATCATCAATTCAACATAGTGGAAAAAATATTCGACATCCATTATTACATGCCATACCAGACAAATTAGCACCAATTGTATTATTAAAGTCAAATCAAAAACGTTTTCATTCGAAACAACAAGACGATAATTTAAGAGATTATCAAGATGTGCTAACAACAGAACAAGCGTACGTTATTCCGTTACTGCAGCATTTTTTCTATATACAAATAATTCTTATTGTATTATTTAGAACACTAATAAACGATGAAATACCTTTAGACTTTGCCGAAGCTCCACTCGCTCCAGTCCTACCAGGCGATCCATCTGGGTCTAGTCTACCAACAACGGTGGCATTTCTTTCAACTACAACAATGCCGATTCCTACTACCATGTCAGTTTCTATTACTCTTACAAACGATATGTCTAATAGAGAAAATCAAGGTAAATTAAGTAACGTTTAGTAAATCATTCGTATCTATGAAAACATTGAATTGTTATCTTTTATAGAAATGCCCAGTTATCGAAAACTTCTTTATATGGCATTAAACGATATTAAAACACGTATAGCCAAAGATCAACAGTTGATAAATGCATTAGCCGACGAAAATAAACGAGCAATAACTGAAAGAGAACAATTAGTTTTACGATTTAAAAATCTTAGCAATATAGTCTTGGCAAATAATAGAAAATCAGAAAGTTTGAAAAATAGAATCGAAGAAAATGAAGGTATAAACATTTCTATCATATATATTTATAATAGAAATTGACGAACAATGAATATTTTTATTTTTAGATTTAAAAAATGTTGTTGTCGATGTTGAAAGATTATCATTATTAAGACCATTTTATCGTTTAAATGGTCTTCGAAGATTAAATGATCTTATTGACTTAAACATAGACGACAAAACATCAACAATTTTAAATCAACTTATCAATTCGAGTACACTGGGCAGAGAATCATTGGAAAATGTGAGAAAAAGACAAAATTTACGTAATATATTAAAAAGAAGTTAGATATAAATAATAAGCACATATTGTATTAAATAATTTACATCGGCATTTGTCAACTTTGATCAAGATTCTTCAAATGAAACATGTTTTAAACAAAACATCGTATACATTGTAACAAAAAAACTTCAATGCTTTTTTTTATACAATAGTATTTTGAAAATGTGCCTTGAAAATATTAATTATCGTTCAGTTTCATATAAAAAACTAATTAAAAAACTGTCAATCGTCAATTCTCTTTAAAAACAAAAACCCTTAAAAACGTATCTCACTTGATAATCTCTCTTATTTGTCTTTCTTAATATTCATGTCTAACTTAAGTCATCGATTGTTCTCTTTCTCATTTAATCATCTTGAAAAGAATATGTTCACTCGTTTTCTTTATTCATCGTTATGTTTATTTCAACAAAACATAATGTTCTATCGCAGTTATAGTTAATCATCACAAAAATAAAATTGAATATTACTCGTTTATTAAATCTATTAGATCAATTTTAAATCTATTCAATAGTATGGAGAATGTAGTGTGTTTACTCAGTATGTATACTCAAAACAAGAATGTTTATATTTTAGGTACATGTGGAGTGATTATACGATCGTTAAGTATAACAAAACTGCATCTATTCGATTTTTGCTATTGTATCTCCTCAAAAATAGTAATTAAAATGAGCTTAGAATATTTCTATTCGAAAGTATACCACATTTTTTCTTCATTTGAGAATACGATGTTCAGATGGTGGATTTTGAACAGAAAAATGTTCTTTATGTTTGAGCAATTAATATTAAAACAATAAATGTTTAAAGAGGGGGAATATAGTAAATAGAAATTACCAAATCATATTTTTATGATGTTTACCATAACTCAATAAATTACACCAACTATTGAAACTAACTCTAACAATAAATATCAATATATATAACAAAAACACAATGGTTCCATTAGAGCAATAGAAATTTAGTGCCCAAATTCCATTGAAGAAAATAGAATTTTACTTTATAAATACTTTCAATTTAAAAAAATCGATCCGTATGCTCGATTTATTGATCAGAGTCACATTTCTAAGCGGTAGTAAGCTAGCTATCAAGATATAGCACTACTTTTTACTAATCCTATTACTCTAGTCTATATAAATGTAGAAAAACTTAAATCTAACTTTCAATTTCTTTTACATTAGATAGAGCTTTTCGTAGTGCATCGAATCATGTATGGATGTCCAGAAATTCTCTTTTAATTTCATAGAAAAAAGTAGTAAAGAAGTATATTAGCGTATCAGACATCTATAAAAATATTTCGTATTCTGTTTATAATACCATCTGCGATATGATATGCTGTTAAAAAAGAGTTGATTAGAGAAATCGATCAGAAAAAAATGTGACGCTACGTCCTATTTTTTCCATTAACACCTAACGAAAGTTTGAAACAATAAGAAATTGATACCATATAGACAAGCTTTATACTCTATCGAATGATAAAACTTGAAATGGAAAAAAAATACGCTTTTCCTTGAAAAAAACTCAGATACAAAGGATTTTCAACAGGTTTTTTTGGTAATATTTCCTAATTGTTGCCACTAATTCAGCCATTTTAGGGCAAAACAAAGATAGTATTTGAAAAATGATATCAAATGACATATATTTGATGTGTTTTCCATCACTTTGACTTCTGACCAAAAGTTTTGTATATTTCACTTTTACCTGCTATTTTTGGCCTCAGTTGTCAACATAAGCTGTGTTAAATCATAAGTTATTCGCCTTCCAGTTTGGAGCGGTCTGAACTGATTCAAATAGAGAAAACCGAGTGTAAATTTAACAAGAGCACTTATCATTAGTTTTTAAGCCTATTCGTTCGCTATAGAATATCTGTACGAAGAACTCATTTAAATTCATAATGTGCAGTGTTTAAAAAGTTTCCTTAGTGGACTCGACAGCGTTATAAATCATTTTCATTTTCATTGAATATATATATATATATATATATATATCTCGTTTTTCTCATACTATGAAACTTATGATGAATTGAGTCTAAGTTAAAAGCTTCTACATTATTAAATAAAATAATGGATTGCATTATCACACCACGAAAATAGAGAGTTATAGAAACGAAGTGTTGATAAGGAGATATATTCTCTCTTTCCATTCTCTTTAAACAATGAAAAAGGTCATAAATTCCATATGGTAAGTATTATCTGTTATGATTATTGCTTTTCTTTTTCTCTCTCATTATTAATAACAACAAAGTAATCTAAGTAAAGAAATTATTTATCTTTCTTCCTGGTGTGTTTGAGTCATGTATTATAATGTCTTCTATTACCGTTCATTTAATATTCGATTTTTATATTGTAGTTCATTTATTGTTGTATACGGTATTTGTATGTGGTCATTGGGATATATAACATCTTCTAGTTTAGAAACTCAACCTACTATTATGACATTGTCTAAAACAATTGATAATAAATATCCATTTATTTCAAAAGCAATTCAACAACGTTTATTAATATTAGGTCAAAAATATGTTCATTTAAATATTAGTCAATTTACTTCAACATCAATGAAGACAAAAACATTAACATATTTGTGTGAAAGTCATTGTGGTGGATGGGGAGATCGTCTTCGTGGTATTACATCAGTCTACATTCTAGCAATATTAACAAATCGACATTTTATGATTAATATGAATTATCCATGTGATTTAAAAAATTTTTTACAACCAAATATTTATGATTGGACATGGAAACCATCAAAAAATTTAAATAGAAAAAAACTTTATCTTGATACATTACGTAATAAATATCGAGATGATTTATATTTTAATATTTCAAAACGTAATTTTATTCAACATTGGTCAGAATATGATGATATATTTTTGACAACAAATAGTGATTATATTACACCAGCATTAAATAATTCTTATTTAAGTGATATAATAGTCAAATTAAATATTAAACAATCAGATTCAAATCAAAAAAATTTATTTTCATTTATATTTGAAATATTATTTCGTCCTACTTTTAAAATAACAAATATAGTAGATGATATATTAAAATTATTATATTTATCAAATTCAACAATGATATGTTTTCATATTCGAATTGGTAAAAATCCTACAATACCAAGTGATACTCTATTATATAATCGATCATCAATTGTTAAGGATATGATTAACTTTGTTGATAAAAATATACTAAATTCGAATATAAATAATTTAATATTTGTTACAGGTGATTCAAAAACATCTATCTCAGAAATATTACATCATTATCCTAAATCATCAATAACGGTGACGGGACCCATTGTTCACATTGATCGATTTGATAAATCAATAAATAATGATAATATTTGTCATGGATTTTCTAAAGTAATAGCTGAATTTTATCTTTTAGGCGAATGTAATACGAGTCTATTGTCGTATAGTGGATTTTCAGCATGGGCAAATCGAAGACGAACAGATGAATTTAAAAATTTATACTTGTATTGTAGAGGTGTCAAAAAAGTAACAGGACCAACATGGAGGAGACCTCATACCATTTGTTGACGATGATGAATCATATGTTTTTTTTGTTTTTTTTTTAATTAAGTATTCTGATTATTAAGGCTATTCGACGGACACTTTTTGAGTGCTATTTTTTTTTATTTTTTGTTTCTATTTCTGTTTTTTTTTTAATATTCATTATTCTTCGCCATTTATGTGAAAAAAGTTAAGACGTAATGAAAAATAGAAAAACTAGTTGTCTACAACAAAATAGAAAACACCAAATAAAGTAGTACAAACCAAACTGACTCTGACTAGAAACACACACGCACACACACAATTCAAAAAATAGAATTATCATAATTTTCGTTTTGACTGTGTCATATTATTAGTTACTAACGGTTGACGCATATTCAAATAGATAAGTGGTCCGATCATTGGAATAAAACTCAATGGATAATAAATATGATATTTATCAGACATATTTCGTCGACTTAAATCATCACGTATCAATATTGGAAACAATAATGATATTATACAAAAATCAATTGACATTATATTAATAAAACGTTGTGTAAAAAATTCGTATACAAAATTTTGAAAATTACCATAAAATAATGCATAAATAAATAAACCTATTGTAAGTAATGTTAATGTAAATGAAACTAATTTTGATTCAAAAAAACGTATCATATTTGTTAATGGTCCTTTAAATTGTGGATGTGGATAACGTATTGCAAAATAAGGTAATAAAACAAAACCACCCAATGCCATTGATAATAGAGATATTAAACCACCATGAATACTTTGTGTTTGTCCATCGACAAATAATATACAACTATAGATCAATGGCCATATTCCCATGAAATAAAACAATGAGATAACATAGGCATTAATTCCATACCATTCACCTTTTAATAATTTTTCAATTAATGGTAATGTTGGTTTTGACGGTAAACTGTTTGGTGCAAATATAACACTATAAACAATAAATGATAACCAAATAATCCAATATAATCTACCAGATATCATTTTTAGTTCAATAAAATCTTCAATAAAAAATAATTGTTAAAATATTTCATAATCTATGCTCTCATACATCAAATACTCATGCTGAATAATCCTTTGATTGGATATTGTAGAAATCTCACAAGAATCCTATAAGAATTCTATCAGATCCTGTAAAATACTACAATTTTCTATAAGAATCCTATAGGAAAGTGATAGATGTTCGATCCATTGGAAAATTCCTGATATTTCCTATGGTAGGATTATTATAGCAGTCTCGTAGGATCGACAGAAGGATTATATAAGATTCTAACGTAGAAATTGACTGACATCCATAGGACTGTGTCATAAGTTTCTTGGGATTGTCTCACATACGTCGCTCTTGTTCTTCATTTCATATATTTATATTCATTCAATTTTAGTGTTTCATTAGAATTGGAACCAGCCAGAGTTCTCTATTCACTCTGACAGATATTTTTGTAACACACTTGTCGAGGATACAGAGGAAAAAATCCTTATAAATTTCAATATAATACGTGGTCTTTATTGAGAATTGTTACTACAAAAAAACTAAAACGTGAATGGAAAGTACATGGAAAAAAATGATAAGATTGCTATTGTAGACATCTTATCATTCTCCACTGTATGATCCTATAGAAATCTTAGAATTTTCTATCTTACCGAACTGACAGAATCGTAGTATACGATGTCTTCTCGAAAATGTTACACATTCGTGCATTAAGACTTCTACGCGAGTCTCCTTTTTCGAGTCTCCTTTGTTCTAGATTTTGTGATAGTCTCTTTCACAATGATGAGCAAAGCAAAATTAAATAAAGAATTAAAGTCCATATTAATTGCCAAATTAGAACAATATCATCTATGATAGGATCCTGCCTGATCCTCTTATACAAGGATTTTACGTTCTTACAAGTATAGGATCGTATAAGATTTCTACAAAATTCCTACTAGGATTTTTAGATCTGGATATGTTAAAAGAAAAAGAATTCTATAGTTTCTAATTTTAGAATATTAAAATAAATAAATATTTATTTATTTTTATTGAATACACAAATCAGTTAATATTATTTACAACACTATTATTGTTTCATGAAGAGAAAGAATACACGAGCAAACACATAAAAATAAAAAACAAACATACCATGTAAAAAATTATACCATAATTTAATAAAATTTAAATAATAGGAAAAAAGTATGACAGTTGAAAGAAACGAAAAAAGATGATCATTGGATAATGAACAAAGGAAAAACGGTTCAAAAAATAATAATATATAGCGCCAGTATACTATTCACACAAAATGAATTAATATTTAATAAATAAATGCCGACGAGTAACGTCAATCAATTAAATGAATAAAAAATTATTCCTGTGAGACAGAATCATATGTCAGTTGTGAAGATAGATATTTTTTTTGAGAAAAAATATCAATTACAATCAAAATATTGAATTAATTAATTAATTAATTATGATCTGATTATCCAATATCACTATCAGTGACAGTTGTTAATGATTGTGATACAGTACGCCATACTGTTGATGTTTTATGTCGACTTGTACTTGTCATTTCTTGTAATTTTCTAACAGGAGAATCACTATCTTGTAATGATGAACTGGATATCGATGAGTTTCTTCCCGTCCCTTAAAAATAACTACATTGCGTAATTATTTACTGTTAATTGGCGAAAAAATAGCATGTGTTAAACAGATGAAGGAAAGCAGCACAGCAGCAATAAGCCAATACATTTTGACTAGAAGTACATTGTTTTGTTTTATGTGAATGCATACGACTAGCAGCTTTATATATAAGTTTTGATTAATAATCATCATCAGCATTACGACTATTTGATGTTTTTGTTCGGGTAAATGGTGACATGCAAAAAAGATAATTCAATACTGTATTATGACCTTGATTTGTGTTTTGATTATTAACGTCTTGTGAATGTTCCATTACATCCAATCGTTGTTTAACAAATTTAGCAGCTTCTTTATCAATTTCAGCACGACTACGTAATAACTAAATATAAGAACAATCTTAAATATAACTTAAGAACTATGTTAATATTAAAAAGATCCTCATGATTTTTATTTTAGATAGCATTTACTAACAGCTGATTGATGATAATTCTTTTATTATCATTTTCAAAATATATCAAGAAAAACAATGACTTTTTAGCTTTCTAAACAGGGAGGGATTCCAGATCCAAAAGATGAAAATCAGAATACGAATTTTTCTACTATTTCTATTTTATTTCTCTTCGTTTAAATAGTACATACATTTTCTTGTCAGCTTTGATTTTTACATTCTTTTTTCCAGTTTATAAAGAAATAACCACATGAAGTACAATGAAACAAAGTTTGTAAAAGAAGTCAAGCATCAAGTACAGAATGCGACGAGAGATGACGTGTGTTATCATAACACATCACTGCTAAATTGTTGAATTCTGGTTAGGCAAAATTTAAATTCAAATGAATTTGAATTACTAGTACAGCATATGTTTATGCATCTGAGATAAACATTCTCAAAAACAATTCGTTTCAGACGATTCTAAAACACACCAATTCTTCCAATAACATCTTGGGAGATGTTTCTTTCTCTTAAGTTATTCTATGAGTAGAAACAAAGTACAGAAAATTTCAGAATTTTTCTCAGTTCTCGAGCGCTTATATGTACAAAGTATGTCTAAGCTCGCAGACTACTGTAAACGATCGAAGAATGAGCAGTTTCTGAGATAAGGATCTATACAAGGAAGATTTATAACGAACTATTGGGATATTATTGTCCAGTGTCTACTACCGGAACAGAAAGCGATATGAATGTGACATAATACATGCGCTATGAGCCAAACTTCAGTTCAAATCCTCATAAAATCAGAAAAAAAATCCAAAAATCAGAAGATCAGAAACAAGGCAGAAAAAAGTTCAAAAATTAAAAATTTTCTGCCAAAATCAGAAGATCTGGAATCCCTGTTTCTAAAATCAATCCCAAACTTACTTTAAAACTTTTTGATTGTTTAGTAAATTGTGGTCGATATAATTTCTCTCTCATAACTGGTACGTCTCTCATAGAGGCTAATCCTGTAAGTGACCGAACTTTGAATAAGGGTACAAAACATTCACCACAAAAGTCATCACGTGATGCTATATCTTTATCCCAAACTGATAAACGTAATACAGCACCTTTTTCTTCCAAGATGTTTAAAGATAAACGATGTCTATAACAGAGAGATTAATGAGAGAGATTAAAAAGGTAAAATATGCAATAAAAATAAAACTAACATAGAAAAAGTTTTGTTGAAAACTGGATCTAAAGTGTTATATTGCGGATCTGTCTGATGTTTTATTGGTGGTTTTTTATAAAAGCTTGATGGTAATAACTCTACGATAACATATGGATCACATGAACCAAATACAGCATAATCCATCATGGGTAAATTTCGACAAGATAATACTGGAACAAAATAAAAAATTAATTTCTAAAATAAGAAAGAGAAGAAAAAAAATAACATACTTATTATATGGAGTGTAATCAATCCACCATCGTCTTCATAAGCCACTTTAAATAACATTTCACCATATACTAAGGATAAATTAAGCTAAAACGTAGTAGATATTGATCGATGAGATAGAGTACACATTTATCAATTCTAATACTTACAGGTGATGAATCACTCGTCATTTCTTTAAAATAATTTAACTGTAATTGTTCAGTTGTTAATGAATAAGATTCTAACCACGTTCTAAACGTTTTGACTTCTTCAAGTTGAGCTTCTATTGGTAAGCAAATATCATCAAAATAACGTGTTAATTCATCAAGTGACGATAATACTCGTTGATAAAATTCTGGTGGCTCCTTAAATAAAACAAAAATAATGTTTATGATACTATTTGTATGAATTAAGTATAACAAACTTTCTGCGGTAATGTTTGTATTAGACATTGAAGTGTTTTTGATCGTACAGCACCGGCTATTCCTGTATATTGCACTTCTTCTAATCCATCCCATAAATTTTTTAAAATTGTATCGATATACAATGTCAATGGTCTCATACGCTAAAAAGAAAAATATAAGATAATTTATTTAAAAATAAAATACAAGAAATTAAAACACTACATCTTCTCTAGCTAGTTTTTCATCTTTATAATAGGCTCGTATTTTTGCTTGCAATGCTGAGTAAACAAGTTCAGCCACTTGATCAAATATCTGATTAATAACATTAGTCATTTCATCGGATGCCATTTGTATTAGACGATTTAATGTATTTTCTGTTTTACTAAAATCTCCACTTGAATAATGATCATTCATTTTTTCTATGATCGATCGAAATTGTAATAATTTTGGTAATGATGATAGAACTTTTTGTTTAACATATTCAATATCATTGACGAGAATACATAGCTGAAAAAATTGAAAAATTTTCTCTTTAAAAATAAATGAATAAATAATTAATAGCTCACTTTTCTTGAAACATTAAATGATCGTGTTTGATTTAAATCAGGATAGTAATCATTTTCTGATAATTTTCGTGATATTCGTCTCGCATATTGTTGACATTGTTCACACATTGTCTAAATATCAAAAGTAACTAAAAACAAATAGATAATATTATTATTAAACTTACATTTGTTAATTTTATTAGTGCATTATATTGAATATCGGGATCGGGATATGCAATTTTCTCCCAGTCTTTGCATAGCTAGAACAACAAAAATATAAAAATTGAATAAGAGAGAGAGAGAGAGAGAGTCAATCAATCAACGTAGAACTCGATTTTTCTACTGTTATGGAAAGTATTATATATACACATTTCTTACCTGGATACAAAAATGAGCAGCATCAATAGATGAATCAGAATGAAGATTTCCGTCAATATCATCAGAAAGCTAAATTAAAAGAAAATATTAGAGGCAAACTTGTCAATATTCTAAACATCGTTATTAGATTTACCGGATTGTTATCGTCTTCAACCGCTCTTTCAATTGCTTGTCTTGTTTGAGCCACAAAGCCTTCTAATATAAATGGCATAATGGGTTTAAACCATTCTTGATATTGAATTAAGGTTAAACGCATGGCATGTTTTCCCCAAGCTCTGAATATATAGAAAAAAAAGATTTTTTCCTTTTAAAAATAGAATTTAAGCAAACTAAAAGAAAAGAAGTAGCATTAATACCATAAATTTTGTTAGTATATAGTTAGTCGATTGATTAGTTAATGAACAATACCGTTCTTCCATTAAACTACGTAATCCATTAACAATGGTTTGTAGCTTTAAATAGAATGTAATTAATGCTTTTGATGATTGAATTAAATTAGGATCATAAAGAGAGCTAGTATCAATCAACAGAGGCTTCGAACATTCGGCTACGTATTGTGGCATGTATTGTAGTACGCATTTTGTTTTTTCAGCAAGCTAGAATAAGGAATGCCACTAAAGTTGATTGTTTTTTTACAATTAGAGAGTACACTAGAAAAAAAATAAAACAAAGAAACACTTTACCAAATCTGCAGCTCCTTTCTCTTCGAAAAAGCATATATTTATATAACGAACATTAATTTTATCAAATATTTGTTCATAATCTTTCAGTAAAGTCATTGACTCTGCAACTTTTTGAACATAACCAACAAACTCTTCTAATGTTGTTTGTAATGCGAATGATTGTATATTATCATTATGTGTTAGATTCGATTCAAATGATTCAGCAATATCACTCTAAAACAAAAATGATATAAATTAATAATAGAGTAAATAAAATATGTGTAACATCTATACCTGAAGACGCTTTTTCATTGTTTCACTTAAGCATCGTTTCATATTTAGTTCAGTTGAACAAATCTTTAAATCGAAAATGATAAAAATAATTCTAAAAATAAATATTAAAAATGTATAATAACAGAGAGATACAATCACGTTTATCGCTTGCATACTCGACAAGTATTTTAACATTATTAATATGTTCATGTGATGGTAAAAACCATGGTGCATCAATAACTACACGTTTTTCGTAATGACGAATAAATCCTTGAAATATTTCATCAAATATTGTTTTCTATAACGAATTATTATTATAAAATGCCATATTGAATTTTTTTTTCTACTCTTACCTCATAATCAGTAAAATCTAAATCAATTGTTTTTGAGGTATTTATTTCTCGAATATCAGATCGTTGATGAATGAGATCAGCAAATATTTTTGCATATGTAAGAATTACATTTTGACTAATTAATGTTGAATTGACATCACGATTAGATCGAAGCTCCATAACGACAAGTAGTTTACTTTGAAAAAAGGAACAAAATTCAAGATATAAATTACCCTTACTTCAACCTTTACTTTAACAAAGGTGCACGTAGTGCAAACTTACAGTAAAAATGTTTTTCCAACTTATTAAGTTAAAAGCCTGTCCATTATGGATCCGAAACCAAGTCTCTAAGCTGTGGGCATGTAGTTTTATAAACCTAGCTAGTTTCTTGTATTAAGGATTGAAGCCATTATTTGCACGTCATTAGATTCGCTGAAAGTCCAGCTTTAAAAGTACTTTTTTGCGATCGATTTCATCTATTTCAGATTAGTTACTGTTTGTTGTTGTCAGTACTTTTACCATATATTATCGGCTATATTTTAGCCGCATTATTTTATCTGTGAAATTTAAGTGGTTTTTTACGTGGTTCCAGTAAAAGCCATTTTCCTCAGCAACGAAACAAAACTTTTTAAAAAAGCGAGTCGTACTTTTAAAGCTGGGCTTTCAGCGAATCTAATGGCGTGCAAATGAATGACGCCTTCAATCCTTAATACAAGAAAAAACTAGCTAGGTTTATAAAACTGTATGCCCACAGTTTAGAGGCTTAGTTTGGAACGTCCATAATGGACAGGCTTTTAACTTTAAATTTAATCAAACATCATTTTAATATCCAGTTTTTAACGCTGAATTCAAAAAAATTGTTTGAAGACTTCAAAACGATCTAGAGCCGAAATATTAAAGATTTTTTTGAACTTGAAGAATTTTTCCAGTATTTTATATCCTTCTAGTATTTTCGATTTTTCGACATAAAAGTAATCTTTTGAAAAAATTAAAAAGTACATTTTCTTAATCAGTTTGACGAGCTCTATCCAACGACGTATAATAAGTTGGAAAAAAAGTTTTGCTGTAAATTTGCATTATACGAACCTTAACTTACATGAGACTTTCTGATAAACTGGGAATGTTATATAAAACTCGAAATTGTGCTAATACACTATACGATGTTGGGTTCAATTCACCGTTCCATTGAGTTTGCTAAATATTCGAAAGTATATTTCTAAAGATAATTTAAATTTAAATTTTTAACTTTACATTCTCATTACAATCTTCCAATTCATGGAAAAAAACGATACGACATAGCTCATGATATTCTTCAATTAATAATGGTAATTCGAATTCACCATGCATTGTTAAACCAGAATCAGTTAAACTAATAGTTGAATGTTTTGATTCAAAACCTTAAAGAAGAAATAAAAAACAAAATGAAGAATATTTTTATTCCATATTTGAAAAAATTATAAAATAACTAAACGTACTTGAATTAATTAGGGATCTCTCTGTAAAAGGAGTGTTCTGTTTTGGTTGTCGAAAACTGTTACGAAATATACTTGAGCGAGTAACCAGAGATGAATTGGCAGCTGAACTTAATACTGAATGTCTTCGACGAAATTGAAAACCATCATAACGTTTTTGACCACCTATTGTGTCCTCCTATAATAGTTGAAATATCCTCTACATATCTGACACTGAGTAATATCTATACTACCTATAGGTCACAATTAAGATTAGAAATTGAACCAGATGAGATTTTGTTATGCATATCAGGATAAGTTTAAAATGATATATTTCTAAGTTTTATATGCTATCTATTACTATTATAATATTACTAGCAATGAGATATTATATCTGTTCAGATATAAAAGTAGAAAAGTCCTCATAATGGATAGTATTTATTATTATCTCAAGATAATAGGTTTTTATTACATCGAACTATAGGACATGTTGAAACGAGAATGCTCTTTGATTTTATCCTCTTGTCCCGTATATAGATAAATGGGTTATAAAATAATGATATTTGTTTGACAGGTTTAAAGAAATGTAAACGTGTTTGTTTAATATACAATTGTTTATAGCATGTCTCACAAGATAGATAGCAGAACATGATGTTTTTAATATGAGTATCTTACCTATTGTAAAATGTAAAGAAAAGTGGAAGATCCTTTTATCAATTTAAAGTGTTTGAATATCTTAACGTAAAATTCAAAGATAGATTCTAGTCAGATCTAAATTCTAATCGATATATACATATTCTATCAAATCACATATATATCGGGGTTCTTAGCTCATTTTTTGTCTAAAACAATAGTAAGTATTGGTCCGTTACACAAAAATAGAGGAAATAAGATTTAAACTGTGCTATTTATGTAAAGAGCATAAGCGTCAAACTGCGATAGGTAATTACATTATAAACCTGATGGTTACAGTACTACCTTTAGCCACACCGATCCAATTTTTAGCTGCACTCTGAAAAAAATAGTGTTTGTATGCCGGGTCATCAATTCTTTATTAATACCTACCAATTTAAAATGAATTTTTAAACTTAGTAAAATTTCTCCACGATTATTAGAACGACGTCCAGTTGGCGCTGTTAACTGAAACCATTTTTCACAATCAAAACTTGCAATTGACTAAAACAAACACAAGTAATATACAGTAATGATAGTAAAAACAATCTACTAATAAAAATAGAATACTTTGATATCCAAAATAACTTCACCAAGAAAATCATCAGTAATTACACCTGTTTTAAAAAAATCACGGAGACCCCTGAATCGTCTAGAAAAGAAAAATTAAAATTACATCTTTTATAAAAGTGATGTTTTACTAAATAAACGGAAAGTCCTTGTATCTAACGTTAATCAGATGCAAGATTTATCATATCTTACTGCGTAGCACCGCGTTTTTCTGCCATCACATTGCGTACACCGGTAGCTTTACTATCGGAATCAAAAACAGATATGACGAGAAATTGACTCATTACATCTTCAATTTCACTAGAAAAGAAAACAATCATTGAGTTATGTACATTATTGAGAAAGTAAATCGAACATACAATTCAAATTGTTCATTCCATTCGGGTTCAATTGTTTGTTGACAAACTCCTGTTTTATATGAAATTAAATTTGATGATGTGGATTTTTTCAATGATATCCGACTGATATTTTTTGGACGTGAAAAACTCGCTGAACGTTTTTGATGTTCTATATGGATGAAAAAACAGTCATTATTGACTATTTGTATTTAAAATATGAAAGTATTCATACTGGTACTCGCACATGAAAACAAGCCAGATTGGATGAGAGGAGACACTGGTGGTTGAGACGGATCATGATCAACCACCGACAGACGACAATATGGATCACTTAACCCTGAAAGGAAAACAGATTATGTAAAAAAGAGTTTATCTTGTTGAATAAAATACATTGGTGATTTGCCACTTTATATGCTAAGAGGAATAATAGCTATTGATTTAAAATCTAGTTTGAGCATCATGCTAATTATATAATAAGACTTGGCTACACAGTTCCAGAGATATCTTACTTTACCGATCTAACTTTTGAGTTAACTGAAATCAACACTTAATTTGTGCACAAAAATACAGCGATTACTGTTAAATATCTATTCAGAAACAAATGTAATACTTGACTCTTATTAAGTAAAAATTCAAATCATTATAACGGGTGGGCCATAAAGAATTACACTACTTTGTTTTCGCTATAACTCAGTCAGTTTTGACGCTATCGGACAAATTATTTTTAAAAAGATTTTTGCATCAATACCTGTTGCATAGGTGAATTATTTCTTTTATCAAATTTTGCAAAAATCATGTTTTTGAATTAGCGATTTTAAGGTTTTCAGAAAATTTGCATGAGTCGATCAAGAATTAATCTTTCCAGCTTGGCTTTTCTTTTAATTTGAAGAGAAATGAATGGCGCATTAGTAGACATGGGCGGGACCAAGGTTTTTCAGTTCCGGTCCCAGTCCCGTACAGTTATTTCGATCTCGTATCGGTCCCGGTCCCGGTCTCGTACAGTTATTTCGATCCCGTATCGGTCCCGGTTCCGCACAGTTATTTCGATCCCGTATCGGTCCCGGTCCCAGTCTCGTACAGTTATTTCGATCCCATATCGGTCCCGGTCCCGTACAGTTATTTCGATCCCGTATCGGTCCCGGTCCCAGAAAGTTTTTCAGTCTCGGTGTCGGTCCCGGTCCCGTACAGTTATTTCAGTCCTGATGCCGGTCCCGTTAAAAAATATTTTCGTCCCGCTTCCAGTCCCGTACAGTTGTTTCGGTTCCGGTTCCGGTCCCGCAAGGTTTTTACGGTCCTGGTCCTTAAAGTAATTCTGCTCACACGCAAATAACACTCAATTAATGCCGGAAAGTTCAAGAGTTTTCTAATGGACTATTTGTATTATATTATCTGTTATTTGTCCGCTAGTGGATGAGGTATGCCGTATGTTTCTTCTTCTAATTATATAAACAAAATAACCGGTGCATGCCTAGGTACATAAGATTGATCACATTTAGGGAACGTGATCGTACGGAATGCTCAGTTGTTTTTTCTTTCCTTTTCTTACGTATGTATATAGATTCAAACAGTAATGATATGAACAGTCAGCTGGATGATAATCTATTTGATGACATATAAACTGCTTTTTCAATGAAACCAGTTACTTTTTTGGAACCTCAGATTGACATTTTGGTGTTTTTAATAAAGTTTGCGTGACCTATATGGAAAGTTCAACACGTAGAAAGGCACTGTGAGACTTCCAGACAATTTTCTGAATCATTTCTATTTAATTATGGCGAACAGGTGACGCTATAGCTGATTTTACGCAACCATCAAAAATAATCTTAGTTCTCGTGTCGGTCCCGATTTGGTCCCGGAATAATAGTTGTAGTCCCTCCCGTCCTGGTTCCGTTAGATTAACGTTATTGGTCCCGATTCCGATGCCGGAAAAGTAGCTTATAGTCCTGTCCCGGTCCAGATCCCGATAAAATAATGTTTCTGGTCCCGGTTCCGGGACGATCTCGCCCATGTCTACGCATTAGACTAAAACTTTAGAGTTTGAATATAGTCCTTCATTCGGATGTAATGCGTAAAATAAGCAAAGTTTTATGTGATTTCGGCTCAGTTTTAATAAAGTAGTGTTTGCCTCATAACACTTGGTTGAAACGGACTTCATTGTTAATCACGCGAACGAGCGCATTTAGTTGTACTCGAAAAACTTACTGTCGTGTTATCATATTTGCGAAAGAGATAGAAAAAAGGCAAAACTGTTCAGGAAAACCACTTTAGAAAGTTGGGCATGTTGGAGCTTCTCAGTATCCTTTGTATAATTTTTCTTCTTTATGTTTTACAACAAAAGTTTTGACATTCTTGTAGAGAATTGAATGGCGAATCTTTTTAAAAAATTTCTTTATGGCCCACCCGTTACGGTTGGACGACTTTGGTTTTGACTTTTTTCAAAAAAGCTGCCTTGATTGTCCTGAAGACTACTTAAGGTTGAGACTTTTAAGAAACATTGTTCTACTTAACAACATTAGTCTACTATCAATATTAAGTGACAGACGAATCAGAATTTGGGTCACCCAAATTGGGTGAAATATGAGTCAAAGAAACGGTACAAAATTCAATGAAAATTAAGATTATTCCCTTTAGATGTGGATTATCTACCATTGTACATACCATTCGCATCTTCACCAAGTAAATTTTTAGCTCTTTTAACATTCACTATTAAAATAATATTAGCAGGCTAAAAAGACAAAAACTATAATTTTTGGCAAATTCTATTTTAATAATACTATTACGTTTACCTTGATGGCAGTTTCTTTTGCACATGTGTTTCTATGTTCAGTCACACTTACATTAAATAACTAAAAAGTCATATTTAAATTAAAGATTTTTTTATTAAATGTTTACCACTTACTTTTCTAACATGTTCACTCGATTCACTACTTGTTGGTCCATTTTCGTAGACACGCAATGGACTACAAGCAGCTCGTAATGTATATTCATATAATCGACGCTATTTTAAAAAATAGGAAAAAACTATATAATAACTAGTGTATCACTTTCTTTAACTAATTCTGATAAAATTATCTCTTACTATTTTGTTAAACAACGGTTTTCGGGTACATGAAAGCTTTTTCTCTATGCACATTTTCTTACGCTTACAATTAGTGATAATAAATAGTTCTATGAATTAGTACTTTTTGAAAAACTGAATGAAGCAATTAGTTAAATGAAGCTGTAGAAAGATATTATTTGCAAAGACATGTATGATTTTAAGTTGAAAATAAATCACTATACTTTAATTTATTTTTAAGTAAATGACGAATGTTACATTCTCTCTCTATTTCAAGCGTACAGCATAAAGAACAATATAAAGTATAAAGATAGTATTTAGAAAAGAACGCTCTTGTCATAATTATACAAAAGAGTGACTTTAAACACAATGAATATATAAAAAATGTTAAGCAAGATTAAAAGCATGTTAGCTGTTATTGTTCCCGAATAGTTAAACAGAATGGAATAAGCAGATCATACCCCTTCTCTTACTTCTAAAACAACATCGGTCTTCCTCATTAAATTAGTTATATGTTTGTCTAAAATGTTTAAACATAATTTGGTTTATAACGAACGCAGCACGAAAAATGACGACGACGACGAAGTGGCTGCTGATGACAGACCAGTGGGATGCATAATGGGTGTAAAAGGAAACGCAAGAAGAACTGACCAGCGTTCATCAATGTTCCATATAATATATTTTAGAGATAAATATCAGCATAATATTTATTTCTGTCTTTTGCACATTACTCTAGTTGATAGCACAGAAAAATTCTAATTTTCAATAATCCTTTTTCGAAGATTTTTGAAAAAGTTTTGAGAAATTTTTTTTATCAGCAACCGCTATGTAAAATTTAAAAAGAAAAATTCCGTCTATGGTGGTGACGACGTAAAATTTTATAATTTTCTTTCGGCGGCATCAGTGACACGGTTAACACCACTAATCACAAATATGTTCTTGACATTTTGTTTATAAACACGTACAAAAAGATGGAAAAAATATTCTGCTTAACATTTTTAAGTAAATATGAGTAAAACACAAGATATGTAATAGAAAAATTCAGTTTTCGATAGAGACACTGTTCGTTTCTTCCTTTAGTTTTGATGTTTCAATTGTTTCCTTTTCTTTTAATAATGCTAGTAATTTATTGTATGATTGTAAACGTAATTTATGTCTTCTACTAGCCAAGTGCACTAGAAAAAAATAAAAAATAAATATGTTATTATATGCCTTTTCAATAGCAATCAACATCATATTTACCATCCCATTGATATTTTAAATTAAATACTTGATTATCACAAACGTGACAAGTATTATATTCATAGGACAAATCAGCCATGGGAATTTTTGTCAACGGTGAATAGGGAATTTCTTCATTCTGAAAAAATTAAGTATAAGATACAATTATTTAACAGTTTAGAAAGTACATTACTTTTAAAAATGCATTGATAATTTCAAAAGCACGTCCTTCAACATTTTCATCCCATTGAGTTATATCAGTTGTGTCTAATTCATAAACGTCAGGTGAATGATCTTCAACTCCTAAACTAACGAAATTGAAAATATATTTGAACATAATATCTTGTACATACTTTGTAATAGCCTTCTTTTTAACCATTTTTCTTGAGATTTTGAATATTGTCGTGTCGATGCTTTAAGTAATTCAACAGCTAAAATTTAAAATAATTAAAATTAAAATATATTATCTATTTCTTATTGTTTACTACAAACCTTGATCAAACATTTTCTTTCCATTTTCGTTTGCTTTTTCTTCTTCAGATAATTGTAAAAAGTTATGAAATTCTTTAAAACCAATTGCTTGAAATACTCCATGGGTATAATCAATAGTACTAAATAAATAAACAATCGCTATTTTAATTCTAAAAATAAATAATTCTATGATTTTATGACAGTACCCTTCTTTACAACGTGAAAGATTATATAATTCATGAAAGTTTGTCAATTCATTTACTAATCCATTGTCTAACATCGATTGAACACGATCATTAATTCGACGTTTTAATTCTAAAAATAAAGCAGAATAGCTTTTTCCAAAACCAACAATACATATCTTCTTTATTATAAATACTATATACCTTCTTTCTTGCATGTTAACCATAATAAACAACAACGATGAAATCGAAATGATCCACGATAAGTAAAACCTGAATAAGATAGATATTAATTAAATGTCATAATCTGTTGAAATCTTACATACCACTTTCAGCATGTTGTTCATCTAAGGCAGTACTTAACGTTTTACCACCAGTTTGTCGATAATATTGAAGTGCTCTAAAATGAGAAAAATAAAAACAAATAGTTTGGTTTGAATGTATGTAGTAACAATCACTGAATGACAATCTTCTTTTCTCGTTTGCACAGTAAATCTTGATCAAGTCGGATGGTTAACCTTCATTTCAGACTTACTAACGATGTGTGTCTGTGTGTGTGTGTAACCTTACACTTAAAACAATCGTCACCATGTATGTTGTTTGTAAATTTTCACCTTCGAATTTTTCGTTCTTCATTTGGATGTATTTTTATACTTGATTTTAAATCAATTTTTTTCAATAAATCATGCATTTGTGTTGATGTTAATTTATCAAGTGCCTCATCTGTAAGCTCGGAAAATTGTTCATTAATAACATGAGAATAAGGAGACAAATCTCGTTCTAAAAATGTACTGGGTGGATTTAAATTAAATAAAATTGATTCAATATAATAATTTGTTCCACCAACAATAATTGGCATTTTTGAACGATTAATTATAGATTCAATCTAGTAGTATGAGAACAAAGAGAGAATTCTTAGTCAATATAAAGAACCAAAACTTACTACTTCCAATGCTTCATTTCGATAATCAATAACTGTATGTGAAATATTAAGTGGATTTATGTATCTGAAATATAACTGAGTATTACTCATGTATAATGAAAGTTACATGTTAATTCATCATACCCGAATAAATGGTGTGGAATATCGTCACGTTCTTCATTAGTTGGTTTGGCTGTGGCCAGATCAAGTCCATCATAAACCTATGAGTCAGTAAATAATTATATACACCAATACATATATAGAGAAAAATAACTGACTTACTTGCATGGAATCAGCATTCACAATTTCACCATTAAATTTTTTTGCTAAACGTACAGATAATTTTGTTTTACCAACAGCAGTAGCACCAAGCACAATAACCAATGGTGTACGATTCATTCTTCTACAAAATAAAACAATATACTTTCTGTCTAGATCGGTTTCCGTTTTCTTTTTGGGTTAAGTAAACAAAGTGAACGCACACTCTTTCATCTTCTTACTTTACTATCTACATTTGCATTTAAAACAAAACAAACTTTTTTCAAGATAAATAAATAAAAAATGTCTTGTCTATCTATGTAACAATTCTATCCATTTTTTTTCTCTCTCTCTCTCTCTCCTAAATATATATCTTTTTAAACAGAAAAAAAAACACGTGAGAAGAAAAATATACATAACACTCTTCTGTTTTTTTTTCTTTAGAGAAAAATAATACTCCATTAATAAACAAGAATTCAATAAAAACACAGGTGTACAATAAAGTCACCAACGAGAAAAGCTAAGTATTTTTGTATACAAAGCTAGTATTAAAAAGAAACTTACATCTATCATATTACAAATAAATATTTTTAACTATACACATTAAAACTACAAATAAGAAAACGGGAAATATTAAAAGCAATAATATCTCATTCAACACATTTTTTTCTATAAAGCGGGATAGAATTATAAATTAATTAAAATAAAATACATGAAATTGAAATTAAATAGTCAAGTTAAAAACGTTGTTGCTGTTGTTGATTTTGTTGTTGGTACGATTGACAATGTTGAGATTGCTGAACGGCTGCATTTCTCTAGAAGACGAAAAAGGGAATAGTTAATGAATTTTAAAGTATCATTAGGTATGATGATTTCTTTTGAAACTACTCACCAAATTGAAAATAAAAATATTTGAAGAAGAAAGTTAATTTAGTAGATGATGGAAAAAAATCATAATAAATAAACACAGGTTAAGTAGAGTAAGAGAACGGCAGATTAGCAAAAAGAAAAACAAAAGGTAACGACGACAGAAAAAAATCACAATAAAGAAAGTGTTCGTTTGGCATGCTAAACGAGGAAATACAGACTATTGCTATGGTGTTATACAATGACTGTTATAACAAGATAGATGTGCATGTTGAGAAAAGATTTTGGAATTGTTATAAATAGGTCACACACATCTCTACGTCTAGAGTCTAGACTCTAGAGCTATCGTATATATATTTGTTGAGTCGACGACAAATCATCGAAAATATTTTCATCGAACGACATTTTGTCGCATTGATGTACTATTGAATTTTCCTAGATAACTGAACGATAACCACAAAATAAATAAAAGTACACTGGCTGTAAGTAGCATGAGTTGAAGGAAGGTTTAGGAAATGTAAGTTAATTTTTCGGCATGTGGCACAATGAAATACAGATATAAAGTAGAGGAGAAAAATGTACCTTTAAATGTTGTACGATTTGAACTTGATCATTGAAGGATAGAAAGGTTTTTTAAAAAGTTAATAAAGCAGTATATGTATACATGTCATATTGTTTGTCTACCTTTTTACATGATTCTCTATACGAGAGTGTTGTGGTCAAAAGCAAAACATTCTATCGCTTTCATAAATTTTCTTTGAAGTAAAATTTCATTATAAGTATGATCAGTTTTTTATCAGCAACTAAAGGCAAACGTTTACTGCATTTTAATGGTTATGGATATGTAACGGAAAAAAAAATCTGATAAAAACACATATTGGAAGTAGGTGTGCATCGGTTCGGTTAAAGCGAAACCGAAATAATCGAATATTGGTTATAACCGAAGAAATTTTATAATGTGCTCAGTTTTGATTGGGCATATATCGGTTTCGGTTAATAACCGAAACCGATGCATGCCTAATTGAAAATGTAAAGATTATTGGTCAAAAACAGCTAAAAACTAAAACTAAAACTAAAAACAGCTGCTGTTACTATCTTATCAAGGGTATGAGTTTTTGTACCCCGTACCCTATCCTATAAAAATTTATTGTACCCTACCGGACTCTCTAAAAAAAAAATATTTTAAAATACGGAAAATGGTATAACCATTTGAACCGTATTATAACTGTTTAAACGTTTTTACTTTTATCAGAAAACCCGTTTGGCATTTTTAGAATACAAAAAAGCTGTGATTTAAAAAACCCTGATTTGATTTGGTATTTTAAAATACTTGAACGGTTTTTTGTGACGTGAAGAAACCTCAACCGTTTGTCAGAACATAATTTAGCCGTATTTTAGAAAACGAAAATTAGTTTTTTGATAAGAATAAGAAACTTTTAAACAGTTATGATATAGTTCAAATGGTTATACCCTTTAAACATTTTTCCCGGGTGGTTAAACCTTTCTTTTGGTTTTTCTCAAATGGAAAATACTTTTTAGGGTTTTTTGAAATATCTTTTTTTTTAGAGTGCACCCTATTGATTTCAGACAGTTTGCACCATACACTCTACCCTATACATAAGAAAGTAGGAGTAAAATAGGATCATTCATTTAGCGATCGAAGTTCGTTTTTCTACGTACAGTTTCAAACGTACAGTATTCAAAAACAGAAAACATACATTTTATTGCTGCCAAAAATTTTGCAATAACAATATGTCGTCAAGTATGTCTTTGGATAGATGACAGCATGACTCATGAAGTCATGTACCACTAACGGAGCGAATGTTTCTCAATATTAAGCGTTTTTTATCTTATAGGTACAGTCTATGACAAACGTCTCAACCTGTACCTTATCCTATAAAAATGTTTCGTACCCTTAACCTACTCTACCCTATAAAGTTTGTACCCTATCTTACAGTGTGGAGACATATTCTGATCGGATGTACTTAATCGAGATATATATCCCGATCTGAATATCTTTTTTTTAGCAAAATTTTTTTAATATTCCGAACAGAATATAGTTTGAAATTCGATATCCCGATTGAGATATCAAAAAATCTCGCTGGCTTCACGACTGTTATGCGTTTTAAAATACGCAGCAAGTTGTGATCACTTATCTGCACGAATATTTAGGTGAAAAATTCCCCGTTAAATACAAACCACATATATTTATATATTGTCGACATATGAGAGAAGAAACGTGTTTCAATATGTGTGCACCGAAAAGGAAGAAATAAAAAAAGACGGTCGGTGTGGAAAGCGATTAGATCAAGAGTATATTCCATTTTGGGCAATAAAAGATTAACCGCCTATTGCCCGATCGGGATATAAGTAGTGTTTGCCAGTGATTTATCTAGTGTGTAGGCCGGGTGGGCGGTCCACCCGAATTTTCGCTTCGCTCTACCGAAAAGCAATAGGTGATTTTGTTTTAGCAAAAGGTTTTTTAGTTAACAGCCCTTCCAAAAATTTCAACCGCCCATCCGAAAAACGAAACCTAGATAAAACAATGGTATTTGCGTTTATAGTATACGAAAATAAAGAAAATCACAGAGAAGAACATGATTAATTAATAACAAACAATCTACCTTTTTTGCTCTTCTTTATTTTCTTTAACAATGACTGACATTATCGTCTATAGGTTAGGGTTGTCGTGATCAGTCAGAGTTTGAAAGGGTGCTCCATTGAGACAAGAACTTTTTTTCCAGAGAACCGGTGTTTTATCTAGGTTTCGTTTTTCGGGTGGGCGGTTGAAATTTTTGAAGGGACTGTTGGTTAAAAAAACTTTTGCTAAAACGTAATCACCTATTGATTTTTGGGAGGGAGAAGCGAAAATTCCTACACACTAGATAAATCACTGCAAAGAACGCAAGAAAAAAAAAGCTTTCTGTTGGGAAAAACCGAGGATTTTTAATTTTTGGAGGGATATCGCAAATATATACTACGGCTTTCGTATTAAACGAACGGACGCGAAACTTTTGCATGCCGTCTCATCTTCAATTAGAACATTTCAACGCCAATGTGGAATAAAAAAGAATCATATCTTTCATACACCCACAATGTATAATGGATAAAAAGTATATCAAGATTTTCAATTAACTCAAATGAAGTGCAACGATTGATTTATTCGTACTTGATAGTCAAAAGGATCATTGTAACGCATTTTTTTCTCCGGAGGTTGATTACTACAAGACGATGGATGCTGATGCTAGAATGAAAAGAAACATTTATCAAAAAATGAAACTCAAACGAATAAGGGTATGCAATACTTGTTGTGAATTTGGTTGAGAATGCTGTGCATTTGTCATAACAATTTGATGTTGTGATGGAGCATGTTGAGATTGTTGAACATGTGAAGTTTTTTGAGCAAGAGATTGTTGTTGTTGTTGAGCGAGTACTGTAGGTTGTTCTGTTTTTACGGTTGGTTCTGTTTTAATATTACCACCTAAACAATTTCCACCAGCAGCGTCCGATTCTTCATCAGTAATGAATTCTCGCCTAGGATAAGGTATTTGCACAGAATCAAAAACACTAGACAAACGAAAAGAGAAACAGTTGTTGTTTCAATAACACCGTTCAGTTAGACATTCGTACTCGTCTGTTGGTCGTGGATCTTCTTTGAAATACAAATCATTCATTGCATCCATCGCTGGAACAAACAAAAACGATGGTCTTAAATAACAAGAATAAAAACATATTAGTTTATATACCTGAAAGACGTTTTGTAGGATCAATTGTTAGTAATTTTGTCAATAACATAAATGAACGAGTGTCTGAGCGTACGCTATGTTTATCCATATATTTACTCAAATTACAATTTGCATAACTGAAAAGTAAACAAAGCAAACTCTTTAAGAAATTAAGCCTAGGGTAAGAATAAATATCATCTAGTATTTTGAACCGTATATTGAATGTCAGATCACTCACTTATTTTTCTTGAATTCTTTCGATAAACGAGAATAATCGGGCATTTTCTTGAGATCCTCCCATTCTTTATCTAAAATGGAAGTAATGATGAAGAGAGATATATTTTTGTTTTGTTTCGTATATACTAACCAGCTGGAAAACCCATAATACTAAATATTCTATCAATTTGATCGTGATGATATGGCGTACTCGTTTTGATATCTTCTTGCTTACAATGAAAGATTGGTTCGGACGTTAACAGTTCAGAAAATATACAACCAATTGCCCAAATATCTTTTATCCCCACAGAGAGAGAAATGCAATAATTCGAGAATGAAAAGAGTGTTTACGAGTTTACCGATCGCTTTTGTGTAATGTCGAGCGCCTAATAATAATTCTGGTGCACGATACCAAAACGTTACTACAACTGGGTCTAAATCAGCTAATGGTTTTAACGGACAATTAAACAAACGTGCGAAACCCATATCGGCTATTTTCACTCGACCGCGTTCAATTCCATCTCCCATGACCAAAATATTTGCTGGTTTCTAAGAAGAAAACATTTTCGAATTTCTAAATAATATAAAGAGACGTATCTAATTTTTTTTAATCGACATACCAAATCTCGATGTAAAACCCAATTTGAATGTAAATAATGTATGCCTAGTAAAAATAAAAATTAGAAACAAGCAGAACACTCAACCTTATGTTGAAAGAACAGCGTACCAGCTAATATTTGATACAACAACGATTTGACCATAGCACGTGCACATATCACAGGTTTTTTATTTTGTTTCGCAGCACGATGAAATTTGATAATATGCTTTGAATGAGAAAAAAAAGAATAAAAATAAAATGTACACAAGTAATGAAGCAAAAATATATACCCATAAATCATGTTCTGCAAAATCAAATAATAAAAATACTTTTCTATCAGCGTGAGATAAAAATACTCGTTGTAAAGTAATCACATTAATATGTTTTAACTCACGTAACAACTGAAAATAGAACAGTGTAGAAGATACCCACAGACAGACCGAGAAAAGTTTACTTACTGCTATTTCACGACATGCTGACAATGAAAGACCACTACCTTCAATTTGTTTTAGCGCATAGTCTCTTGTATCCGTCCTGAAAACAAAGGAAGCAAATGATAAAATATTATTGGTGGGACTGCATTTGAGTTCGTTTCACTTAAGTGCGTTGCATTTTAGTGCGAGTTTTTTAGCGCGTCTCATTTGGGTGCGCTCCCATTTTAGTGCATCTAATTTGAGCACATTCTCATTTTAGTGTATCTTACTTTAGTGAGTCTTATTTGGATGCGTTTTCAATTACACAACTCATTCCTCAACATATTTTGTAACTTTTGAATTGTTTCCGTCACTATTGTTTGAGGTTAATTCTCAGTGATTAGCAATCTTTTATAGTAAAAAGATAAACAGCGTAGTTTACAATATTTTTGAACAGCATCATCCACATACTCTTGCTGCAGACCGATATTTGAAGATTATGTTATAAGACCTGATTGATATCGAAAGATTTTCCATTACCCGAACTTTGAACTTGTAAGAAATTTTCTCCTGTACACAATTCTTCATATTTATCCGAAATACAAAGTTTTCGTAACGATCTTAGCGGCGGTGGTTCCTTCCTTTTTTATCTTGGATCCCGGTCGTGCGAATGGGGGGTTCTTTTAAGAAGAAGTGCGTTTTATAGATTTAAGCTCCCTTATCATTATAATTCTCCAGCAAGAGTATGTGGATGATGCTGTTCAAAAATATTGTAAACTACGCTGTTTATCTTTTTACTATAAAAGATTGCTAATCACTGAGAATTAACCTCAAACAATGGTGACGGAAACAATTCAAAAGTTACAAAATATGTTGAGGAATGAGTTGTGTAATTGAAAACGCATCCAAATAAGACGCACTAAAGTAAGATACACTAAAATGAGAATGTGCTCAAATCAGACGCACTAAAATGAGAACGCACCGAAATGAGAACGCACTCAAATGAGACGTACTCATATGCCATCCGTATTATTTAAACTTTTGGGGAAAAAAAAGATGACGTACTCATCTTTCCGCTTTGCTTTATATACATGTCCATCTAAAACATTCAAAATATTGTAACAACTAGTTTAAACTACGAATACTGTTAGCTACTTACAAGTACCGCGGCCCACTTTACATCCTTGAAAATCGAATACATCCTCTACTCGTTGACGTTCTTGATCTAACTGAGCTTTAAAGTCAGCATCCATTTAATGAAATAACAATATAAATCCAAAAAAATCTATCGATTCACATCATCATCATTTGGCACATGCATAGCAACGGTTTAAGTATAAAAGAAACCAAACAAATAGAAAAACAATATCTAAAAAGAGAACAAGAGATCGCCAAGACCATTCCGTCTTCGAAGAGAAGAATCAAATATTTTTTAAACGTTTGGTGTAATCACGTATAAGATGCCTTACCAATATAAAATTCATTAGTAAAACTGATAACGGACTTGTCCAGGATTTAGAAAATACTACAGCTCGGCTACTTTTCCCGGCTTTCGGTGATTAAACAAAACAAAGACTAAACGAAACTGTATTTTTCAATAACATTATCAACAAAGTAAAGTACACGAAAATAGATAAGAAAAATACACAAAAATAAATGAATAACAAAACAAATTCAAATAGACGTATTTTTAATTTCACAGATTTGTCGTATTCGATTTACCAATTTCTTATATGTTATTGCTGTTTGACTATTCTCATGTTCTTGAAAAAAATCTAAACCATCATCGCAACATCGAGCTATGTTTGGATCTAATGGTATTGACTCCAATAATTCAAATTGATTTTCTTCACATAATTTTTTAGCACCGCCCGTTGCCGGTTTAAATATGACACTTTCTTTATGACATTTTGAACAAATAAATTTGGCCATATTTTCAATGATTCCCAATACATTTAAATTGGTTTGTTTACAAAATGATATTTCTTTTCTTACATCTTGAAGAGCGATTTCTTGTGGTGTTGTTACAAGTATACAACCATCTAAATTTGTATGTTTCAAATAATTGACAACTGATAAATGCTCATCAGATGTTCCAGGTGGTGTATCGATAATTAAATAATCTAAATCATCGTCCCAATCAACATCTAATAGAAAACGTTTGATCATTTGATCTTTTCTCGGTCCTTTCCATATTACAGCTTGTTCTAAACTCTCCAATAAAAAGCCAACAGACATTGTTGAAAAATTTTCATCAATGTATACAGGTGACCAGCCGCTTGATGACTGATGAACTTGTTCGTTTTCTATACCCAGCGCTCGTGGAATGCTCGGACCACATATATCAACATCTAACAAAGATACTTTTAGATTTTGGGCTGCTAATGCACGAGCTATCATAACCGATACGGTTGTTTTTCCCACTCCACCTTTTCCGCTCAATATTAATATTTTATGTTTTATTGATGATAAACGTTGTTGAATTGTAATTAAATCAGGATCCGGTTTCCGTGCAATACCAGATGAGCAGATTGATTGATTTGGACAACCGGCACACGCACTAGTACGACCGGCCATTGTACTTGATGTACCGGGACATGATTCGGGCGCATCCGTTGGAACATCACCATTAGGCTGTTCGGAAACTATAATTAAACAATCGAAAAGTGTAAAGTAGTCTAACTGCTTACGAAGTGAATCTTTGTTCTTCTATGATGTCAAAATCATCAGACATAAAACTTAAACAAACAAGAGCCATGTCACATCTGTCTTAACGTACCAGGCGTAGGGTTCATTCAAAAAAACTAAAATACTTGCAGTAATAAAAAAATATGATCTAAAAAGAGAGAATATGTATCTATGACTTGTGAAAGTGCTAACTACGAAAAGTTGACGTTTAAGAAGCAACAGTCGTCTAGCAATAAACTATGAATCAAAGATGGACGGAATAAGGTTTTTTTGCCGTACTGTATCACCAGAGTGTATATTAAGATCTCATCCCGTAGATATGAAAAATTGTTTCATACTGTACCGTACGGTATGCTACGGCACGCGTCGCCCACCTCTGATACGAGTAATAATAAAGCGACAGGATCATAGATAATCTATGGTTTCCGAAAGAATGGATTGCATCATTATTACACATTCGTATGTTGCAGAAAGAAATACTTTTGTTCCCTGATCGCTTAAAGTTGCGCAAGCTTCTCTGGGAGATTTCTCTCACACTGTGACGAAAGATAGTAGAAGAGTAATGTCAAACGAATAATTATCCGGAAGACAAATAAGGTGTAAACCCAAAGTGAATGAATCCAGACAAATCCAGACAGAGTAGAGGGTTAATCCAAAATCGGACGCTTATTGTATAATGCTGTCGTATTATAATGGTAACTAAGGGACAGAAAACGGTTTAAAAAGTATTGAGTTCTGATCGACATCCTAACTACGAGGTTTTACGAAACTCTAGCGTATTTCATGATGGGACAAAATCGATTATGATAGACGCCAAAAAGAATCCAATTACCAAAGGATGATTATGTACTTCACAATTGCGAGCAAGGCAAGATGTGCAATTGTAAAAGTGATTACGAAGGAATAAAAATATTCTCATAATTAAACGAAGGTCAATGTAACCTTTTCATAAAAACTTCTTTCATTAACAGCTTAAGCCAGTGCTAGTGGTACTGCAACTTATAATTTATATTGATGTTCACTGGAAGAAATTTTAATGAAACTTAACCGTACCCTCAATTGCTTAAACTTAACTAATTAACTTCATTTTAAGGTAATCTGCAGTAAAAATGAGTTATTCATTGGACTGGTGTTGACATTAACTGTTGTCATTATAGGTTATCTAAATGCTCTAAACTATTATTATATTTCAACGCGATTCTACATTAATATATTATAGTGGTCATCCAGTAGACAAGAAGCTAGCCCATCCCAAACACTTATCTCGTAAAAATTTAAAATCGCATTGGATGTTCAAGGTGACCAATAGAAATGCATTGGACTCAAAGGCATCCTCAATGAGGTTAAATTTCTGGAAACGGCGTCTGCATAGCAACTTAAGCAGTTTTCTCATATTATGCGTGCAAAAAGTACAATTTAAACCCATAAATCTATCTTTCTAAATAAAAAAATAAGCTAATCGACCTCGATTCCAAAGCTTAACTCATTCAATATGCGACACTTTATGAGCGACAATAAATAGAAAAACTATTGCCTTCTGCTCCAACAGTACTTGTTGACATATTATCTGTATGCCTCGAAATAGGTGGTCTGTGTACAAAATGCGTTTTTTCTCGCAAAACTATTTTTTGGCTCCTGGGCTTCATTGGACAACATTACGATCCTGGTTAGATTTCATCCGATCAAGTTAAAAATTTTACCAAAGGTATTCAAGGTCATAGCGTAGAGGTATACATTTGGAATTTAATTTTAGACCTTTCTTCATCGAGTTATAGAGTTTCTAAAATTTAAACAATACTTTTCAGTATTTTTCCTATAACTCGGTAAAAAAAACCATTCGTATAAACTAACATCAGATGTTTAGCAGCATTTTGAACTTTTGAGAATTGAACGGCTGGTAATTCGATGAACGTGCTAGTATTTTCATTTAACGAGAACAATTTCGTATCTTTACGTATTAATAGGTGAATTTTTGATTCGTCAGTAATAACAAATATGCAATGTAATTTAAATGAGAAAAAAGATCGCGTTTTTGTACAAACAACATCTATAGAATCATATTTATTAATATCAATGGACTGAGTAAATTTAACAAACAAATATTTTGGTTTATCACATAAATGAATAAATAAATTTTGAAGACATGTTGCAGCTTCTTCACAAATCAAACATCTCACTGATGGTATTATCTAGAAAGTTAAAAAACGAACTTATTTTATGAAAACTAGGGCGATAAGTTCTTACTTTATTCTCAATAATATTATCATCAATATTAATATGTGATTTTACATTCATCATGACCGTCTCACAATTAACGGTTAAGTTAAAATTTCTCATTTGTTGACATCCAATTCGATTAGATTTTTCACATTTAAACGATAGTACACATGTCCAAGTTATTGATTTTTTGTACGTATTGTCACCTTCAGATATAATTTGATTAATACCATCATCAAAACATAATGCCGGCCAACGATGTACTATTTGATGTAATGTTGCACGTCGTTGTTCTTCCTTCAAATTAAAGTCAGTAAGAATATGACGAATAATTCGACGAAAAACATCTTGATACGCTTTTCGTTCATATAATTGGAGTACAATTGACTGTTATTTGTTGAAAGCAGAGGTGCAGAACCTTACACAAAATCCAAAAATTTCCACAACCGAAAAATTTTTTCCCAAAAATTTCCACAAGCCATTTTTTCTTCAAATCACATATGAGCTTTATTTGACGAATAAAAAGAGTT